TGCATCTATGACACTGTCTAACCATCTCATCCTTTGCCGTCCCCGTCTTCTTTGACCTTCAGTCTTTCCCAGCATCAGGGTCTTCTTCTCCAGTGAGGGCTCCCTTCTCATTGGGTGGCCAAAGTCTTTGAGCTTCAGTTTCATTATCTGGCCTTCCAGGGAACAGTCAGGGTTGATTTCTTTCAGGATTGACTGATTTGGTCTCCTTGCAGTCCAAGGGACTTTGTTGTTACCACTATTTAATTAGTCCTCATCTACAGAAGCAGTGAGGAGCTACCAACTGGACTGCTTTACAGCTGCAGTGGACTCCTCTCCTTGGGTAAAAGAAACTTCCCTACAAATTGAAAATATGGATAGTAAGGGAAAAGTGCCCTGAGCTGGATGGCCCAGGCTTGCCTGAACCTGTAAGCCTCCCGAAGCTAAACAGGGTTGGTCCTGGTTTGTGCTTGGATAAGAGACCACCATGGAACTTCTTCACCCAAAGAGTAATACATGGAATTCACTGCCCCGGGAGGTGGCAGTGGCTACAAGCATGGACGGCTTCAAGAGGGAACTGGATAAACATATGGAGCAGAGAGGTCCATCAGTGGCTATTAGCCACAAGGTACAGATAGGAGCTCTCAGTCTGGGGCAAGTGATGCTCTGTATTCTTAGTGCCTTGGGTGGGTGGGGGGGCAACAGTGGGAGGGCTCCTAGTGTCCTGGCCCCACTGCTGGACCTCCTGATGGCACCTGTTATTTCTGGCCACTGTGTGACAGAGTGTTGGACTGGATGGGCCATTGGCCTGATCCAAAATTGGCTTCTCTTATGTTCTTATATGGAGCAGAAGTCCATCAGTGGCTATTAGCCACGAGGTATGGATAGGGATTCTGGGGCAAGGGATGCTCTGTATCCTTGGTGCTGGGGAGGTCAACAGTGGGAGGGCTTCTAGTGTCCTGGCCCCACTGCTGGACCTCCTGATGGCCCCTGGTATTTATGGGCACTGTGTGACACAGAGTGTTGGACTGGGTGGCCCATTAGCCTGATCCAGCATTGGCTTCTCTTATATTGTTATAAGAGGGAATGGGATAAACATCTGGAGCAGAGGTCCCTCAGTGGCTATTAGCCAAAAGGTGTAGATAGGAACTCTCAGTCTGGGGCAAGGGATGCTCTGTCTTATTGGTGCTTGGGGGAGGGGGCAACAGTGGGAGGGCTTCTAGTGTCCTTGCCCCACTGTTGGACCTCCTGATGGCACCTGGTGTTTTTGGCCACTGTATGACACAGAGTGTTGGTCTGGATGGGCCATTGGCCTGATCCAACATTGGCTTCTCTTATGTTCTTATAAGAGGGAATTGGATAAACATCTGGAGCAGAGGTCTCTCAGTGGCTATTAGCCACAAGGTATATATAGGAACCCTCGGTCTGGGGCAAGGAATGCTCTGTGTTCTTGGTGCTTGGGGGGGGGGGTCAACAGTGGGAGGGCTCCTAGTGTCTTGGCCCCACTGCTGGACCCCCTGATGGCACCTGGTGTTTTTGGCCACTGTGTGACACAGAGTGTTGGACTGGGTGGGCCACTGGCCTGATCCAACATTGGCTTCTCTTCTGTTCTTAAGTTCAGGGTTGCTCCGCAGAGGCCAGCAATGGCAAACCGTCTCAGTTCCTCTCGTGCCTCAAAAACCCTGTTGGGATCACTGTGATTTGACAGCCCACCACCACCACCACCAAGGGAAAGAGTGCAGTTGGACACATTTTGTGCACGATGGGCAGTTTGTGCAGTGGGAATCATTCTTCAGAAGACTTGTTGTCGTTTGTTTTTTTTAACTTTGAGGATTTCGAAAGAAATAGAGAAGGAAGATGAATACTGTCTGTCTTTCCTCTTTCGTTTTTCCTTCCTTCCTTCTAGTTAAAAGACAATTCTAACGTATCTGCTAGGCTTCGTTGCCAGTGTGTGCAGCGTGAGAATACACTCAGGGTTAAGGGCCTCGCCTTTTTCACGTGGAGTGCATTTCTAGCTTTGGTGACGAGCCAGTGCGAAGCTGTTGATGGATGGACAGGGGAGCTGACTCTGATGGAAAGTGTCGCGTTCGAGGCTCTGTGATGTAATGTGAAGATCTGTTCTGTGGTACTGAGATGATTTATGCCTGTGTAAGCCAGTCTGTTTTCAGGACCGTGTGAATCACAGTTTGATTGTATGACAACCCCGCCCCCCTTCCACCCAACTCTAAGGGCTCTTCCTGAGAGATATTGAAGCAGTTAAAAAATAATTGAAACCTGGCTTTCTGAGCAGACCTTCCAGAACTTTCTTCCCTCCCCGGGATTTTCTCAGAACACAAGAGCCATTGTTTGGTTTTAATCGAGGTTGATTTAAATTGACATTGGTTTCCGCTGATGATAGTGGATGATGAAGCTGCCTCACATTGAATTAGGTCTTTGGTCCATCAAGGTCAGTTTTGTCTACTCAAACTGGCTGCCCCTCTCCAGGGTCTCAGGCGGAGGTCTTTCACATCACCTACGGCCTGGTCCTTTCAACTGGAGATGCCGGGGACTGGACCTGGGACCTTCTGCATGCCAAGTAGATGCTCGACCACTGGCCAAGGCCCCTCTCCCCGTGATATCATGATATACCAGAACATGGTCCAGAGAAGAACTGGAAGCTGCTGGAAGTCTTAATTAATTTTGAGTTTAATTATGGTTTTGTTATTGCTTATTCATTTGCTTCATTCAGATCTGGGGAAGGGACGGCGTTGACTCTTGGAAGCTCATACCCGCCAACATCTTGTTGGTCTTTAGGGTGCTTCTGGGCTTGAACCCAGCTCTTCTGCTGCGGACTAACATGGCGACCCTCCGAAACAACCCAGAATCTGTGGCCACAAGTGCTAGGGGCGGCCGTGAGCAGCTTTGGATCTCAGTTTGATTTCCATACCTATCTGAAGAACTGAGCAGCGATTTGTGAAACCACATACTGACCAGTGTTCCCTCTAAGCTGAGTTAGTGTGAGCTAGCTCATAGTTTTTTAGCCTCTGGCTCACACATTTTTCTCTTAGCCCAGGAAGGTTGGCTCCAGAACAAATTAATTTATGCAGTAGCCAAATCGCTCGCTCACAACTTTAATGCCAGTAGCTCACAAAGTAGAATTTTTGCTCACAAGACTCCACAGCTTAGAGGGAACATTGATACTGACTCATGACAGCCAGTGCGTACAGTGTCGGACTAGCATCTGGGCGACTCAGGTTCGAATCCCCTCTTCTGCCACAGAAGCCTGCTGGGTGGCCTTGAGCAAGTCACACTCTCTCCGCCTGACCTGCCTCACAGGATTGTTGTGAACATAAAACGGAGAAGAGGAGAATGACGTAGGCTACTCTGGGCCCCCACCAGTGTTCCCTCTAAGCTGAGTAAAGTGTGAGCTAGCTCACTGTTTTTTAGCCTCAGGCTCACACATTTTCGTCTTAGCTCAGAGCGAACTAATCGATGCTGCAGCCAAATCGCTCGCTCACAACTTTGATGCCAGTAGCTCACAAAGTAGAATTTTTGCTCACAAGACTCCACGGCTTAGAGGGAGCATTCCCCGCTGGGAAGAAAGGCAGGGTATGAATGAATAAAATAAACAGATATATTGGGGGGAAATGTCGTGAGGCTTTGAGGTGCTTTGCTTCTCTTTTGCTACAATCGACGAACATGGCGACCCCCTTTGCCATCTCAGAATCTCTCCGGCCGCTGCAGATCCATCACACTGCGGGATTCTCGGTTGTGTCCTTGTTCAGCAGCAGAGCGCCCCCCTCCCGGAACCTGCAGTTGCCCCCCTCCCCGAGCTGGGTGGCTCTGCCTTCCGATCTCCTCAACATCTGGAAGCTGCAAAAGGAAACCTCCCCAGCCTGCAGGCAGCCAAAATCCCCCGGACTGGGTTGTGTGTGCAGAGCAGAGAATCACATCTCAGAGCCCAAGCGGGGTTGGTGGGGAGGGGGAAATGTCTCACGAGAAACGTCCCCCCCCCAAAAAAAAGCTCCTTTTATTTTATTTTATTTTTTCTCCATTCAGGAAACACACGGCTAACTCTTTCCTAACTTCTCTCCCGCTCTCCAAAACGTCCGTCTCTTTGTCTGGGCTGTGTGTGTGTTCGTGTTCCAGTGTTCCCTCTAAGCTGAGTGAGTGTGAGCGAGCTCACAGTTTTTTAGCCTCCAGCGCACACATTTTTGTCTCAGCTCAGGAAGGATGTGGCTCCAGAGCCAACTAATTGATGCAGTCGCCAAATCGCTCACTCACAACCAATGTTCCCTCTAAGCTGTGGAGTCTTGTGAGCAAAAATTCTACTTTGTGAGCTACCGGCATTAAAGTTGTGAGCGAGGGATTTGGCTGCTGCATCAATTAGTGTGTTCTGGAGCCCTCCTTCCTGAGCTGAGAAAAAAAAATGTGTGAGCCGGAGGCTAAAAAAACTGTGAGCTGGCTCACACTAACTCAGCTTAGAGGGAACACTGCTCACAACTTGAATGCCAGTAGCTCACAAAGTAGGATTCTTGCTCACAAGACTCCACAGCTTAGAGGGAACATTGGGGGGGGGGGGGGCCCCTCTGCCTTCTGTTTTTCATTCATTCCCCTGGACTGCCGGTGGGCGCGCGTCTGCCCCCGATTCTCCGCTCCCACCTCCCACCCTTCCTCCTCCAGCCTCCGGCAGTTTGTCTAGCCCTGTTTGCTTAAAGTGGGTGGGACGTCTGGACGGGGAGGGGGGTCGTTTGCCTAGAGAAACTGGATCTCTCTCCCCCTCCTCCTCCTCTTTCGTGCGCTCTCTGTCCTAAGCAGAAGGGGTGCGGGGGGGACCTATGAGCCGGGACTGTTGAGTTCTCTCTTCCAAACTGAGCTCGGCTCTTCTGAGGACACTGCAAAGAAGAAGAGGAGCACCGACTTCTCTCCGGCTCAAGGGGGTGGGGAGGAAGCGGAGGGGGAGGAGGCGGAGGGGAGGCCCGGAGGATGCTATAAAGGCACCGAACCAGACGCGCTCCGGCCACAGTTACTCTCAGAGAGTCTCCTCCTTTCTCCTCTCCCGATTTAAGGTCGTTGAGGGTCTCTCACTCGCTCTCCGCCACTAGCAGCATTCAGAGGAGGATCTTTAAAAGATATATCTATCATTGCAAAGGTAAGTGCCCTGTTGGGGTTTCTTTCATTTGTGTGTGTGTGTGGGGGGGGGGATGTCAGAGGGTTTGGACGGCTCAGAGGGGTATTCGTGTTCCCCTCCAGAAAGTCCCAGGTTCAATCCCCGGCACCTCCACTCAATGCTTCCCTCTGAGCTGCGGAGTCTGGTGAGCCAAAATTCTACTTTGCATGAAAGTGGTGAGCGAGCGATTTGGCTACTGCATCGATTCGTTTGCTCTGGGGCCCACCCCTTCCTGAGCTAAGGCAAAAACGTGTGAGCCGGAGGCTAAAAAAACCGGTGAGCTAGCTCACACTAACTCGGCTTAGAGGGAACTCTGCCTCCAGTTAAAAGGACCAGGTGGGAGGCAATGTTCCCTCTAAGCTGTGGAGTCTTGTGAGCAAATATTCTACGTTGTGAGCTGCTGGCATTAAAGTTGTGAGCGAGTGATTTGGGTACTGCATAAAATAGCTTGCTCTGGAGCCACGTCCTTCCTGAGCGAAGACAAAAATCTGTGAGCTGGAGGCTAAAAATCTGTGAGCTGGCTCACACTCACTCAGATTAGAGGGAACACTGAAGGTGAGGTGAAAGACCTCTGCCTGAGACTCTGGAAAGCCCCTGCTAATCCAAGTAGGCGACAGGCATCTGAAGATCTTTGCGGGAAAGGGCTGTGGGTCAGCGGAGGAGCCTCAGTTTTGCATACAGAAGGTCCCTAGTTCAATCCCCGGCATCTCCAGTTAAAAAGACCCGGGTATAAGGTGATGTGAAAAACCTTCACTTGAGACCCTGGAGAGCTGTTGCCAATCTGAGTAGACAATGGTGGCCTTGGTGGACCGAAGATCTGATTCAATATGAGGGGAGCAGTGTTCCCTCTAAGCTGAGTTAGTGTGAGCTGGCTCACAGTTTTTTAGCCTCCGGCTCACACATTTTTGTCTTAGATCAGGAAGGAGGGCTCCAGAGCAAACTAACTGATGCAGCAGCCAAATTGCTCGCTCACAACTTTAATGCCAGTAGCTCAGAAAGTAGAACTTTTGCTCACAAGATGCCACAGCTGGAGCATTGGAGGGAAAGCTCACTGAGGGGCCATGGCTCAGTAGTAGAGCCTCTGCATGGCATGCAGAAGGTCCCAGGTTCAATCCTCAGCATTTCCTCTTTAAAAGACTCAGGTTCGAGATCGTGTGGACGTGGGTGTAGTATAGCCAAGAGATCTGAAGATTGTCTGGCAGCCTGAAACTCTACCTGTTTTTGTGGGGAGCTAGTTTTTTTTTTGGGGGGGGGGTCTGAGAGACCTGTGACTGACCCAAGGTCACCCAGCTGGCTTCAAGTGGGGGAGTGGGGACTGGGGAATCGAACCCAGTTCTCCAGATTAGAGTCTGCCGCTCTTAACTAGTACACCAAACAGTACTAAATCTGGTGGTCTAATGGTCTGCTCCACGTGTGTTCAGGTGTGCACTTTTCTTCCGCTTGTATGTCAGAAGGGAAGGAAGGAAGAATATGAATTAAAACGAGCCCTGGTGCCAACTCTGTATGAAATGAAGTGGAGAATCATTTGTCTAAATTTAGATGTTTTATTCGTGGCCGGACAAGAATCTGAACCCAGGTCAAAGGCGAGCACTCTATCGGCACATGAGCTCTCTCCCAATTGCTGGGTCATGAGAGGGCAGCATCAGACCATTCTCCCTTCTATTACACCGTTTGTCACTGAAAAAGGCCAAAGAACTGGGGCAGCCTTCAAACTGTCTCCCTCATTGTTGTGAGAACCTCTGAGCCATAATTTGCAGGGCAGTTCGTGCTGTAGTCAAGAGGTACTGATTTCCTGGAGATATCCCTGGAACCATATTTTTTCCCATGTGTGTCGTTTTGGCTGTTCTTTTAGCCCCCTCCACCCCCAATTTGTTGTTCCCCTTTACCAGTTGAGGAGCTGCGGTGGCTCAAGTGGTTAAGACGCTGAACTGCAGGCTGTGGAAGGTCAGTGGTTCAGCATTTCGAGACCCGGGTGCCGCAAGGGTGAGCTCCCGTCTCTAGTTCCAGCTCCTGCCAACCTAGCAGTTCGAAAGCAGGAAATTGCAAGTAGATAAATAGGTACCACTTTGGTGGGAAGGTAACAGCGTTCCGTGCGCCTTGGTGTTTAGTCATGCTGGCCACATGACCACGGAAACGTCTTCGGACAGTGCTGGCTCTTCGGCTTGGAAACGGAGATGAGCACCACAACCCTAGAGTCGGATTCGACTGGCTTTCGAGCAAGGGAACCTTTACCTTTACCTTTACTTTACCAGTTTGATGTAATGGTTAGAGCAACGATGGCGAACCTTTTAGAGACCGAGTGCCCAAACTGCGACCCAAAACCCACTTATTTATCGCAAAGTGCCCACACGGCCATTTAACCCGAATGCTGAGGTTTTACTTGAGAAAAAACAACTCATACATTAACTTAAGATGATCCAAACAAAGTAAGGAAAGCAATCCCAAATGCTTTCATTTACTTAACATTATTTGGCAGAGAATTCGACACTTTAATGATGGTCTGGGCCTGGCTGGGGCGATGGCATGCATGCCCACAGAGAGGGCTCCGAGTGCCACCTCTGGCCCCCGTGCCATAGGTTCGCCACCACTGGGTTAGACTGTTGAACTAAGACATGGGAGACCCAGGTTTGAATCCGCACTCTCCCATGGAAGCTTTATGTATGTACTAGCCTGCTACCCGTGCTTCGCTACGGTATTTACGTTCTGTAAATCCAGTTATAATACTGATGATGTGAAATTTGAAATGTGAGGGGGAGGGGGGGAGGAGTATTAGAAGCCACGGTGGTGGGGCTGTACCTGACAGACAACTGTCTGTTAGTTGTAGGAGATGGGGGGAGTGTGTTGGAAGTCACCCCACCTCCTCTCCTACACCTGACAGGCAGCTGCCTGTCCAGTGTAGGAGGGGGCGGGGGGAGGAGTATTAGAAGCTGGAGGTGGAGGCTGCACCTAACAGACAACCGCCTGTTAGGTGTAGGAGGTGGGGGGGAGTGTGTTGGAAGCCATCAGAGAGGCTGGGCCAGCAGCTTTGCTTCACCTCACAGGTGGTTCTTGGCCACTCCTGATTTCCTCAACTGTTATTAGCTGTCTGCAGTCCCCTGTAACTTTTGGCTTTTTTTTTTTAACCTCAGAACACTGAGCTCTGCAGCTGACCAATCAGAGAGTGGGGGGTGCAGGGAGGCAGCTGCCTGGGAGCTGCAGAGGAATCAATAGGGGGAGCACATTTCCCCCCTTTTGATCCACTTAGGGGTCGAATTTCTAAAAATCCCTTCTTAGCGAGCACCTACACCACGGTAGGAGCGCTCTCCCCGAATTTGGTGTCTCTAGATCCAGCGGTTTGGCCTAGGCGTTGATTTTATGGTGAGGGGACTTTCTTGAGCCACCGCAGCTCCTTATATATATGTATGTGTGCATAAGGAGCTCCTTATATATATATGTATGTGTGTGTGTGTGTATATATATATATATGTGTGTGTGTGTGTGTGTGTGTGTATAAGGAGCTGCGGTGGCTCAAGTGGTTAAGACGCTGAACTGCAGGCTGTGGAAGGTCAGTAGTTCAGCAGTTCGAGACCCGAGTTGCTGCATGACGGAGTGAGCTCCCGTCTCTAGTTCCAGCTCCTGCCAACCTAGCAGTTCGAAAGCAGGAAATTGCAAGTAGATAAATAGGTACCACTTCGGTGGGAAGGTAACAGCGTTCCGTGCGCCTTGGTGCTTAGTCATGCCGGCCACATGACCACGGAAATGTCTGACAAGACTCCACAGCTTAGAGGGAACATTGCTTACAGTTGGTTAAAAATGATCTTTTCCCAATACCCTCCAATCAATTAGTGAACAGATTATACAATGTTTCAATTATATCATTTGAAAGAGCGAAACCAATACCCTCGAATTAGCTCCCCCCCCCATGAGCTCTTAAGATCTTTTCCAGCAAATTAGAGGTAGAGAGCATGACGGATAGGTTTCTAGATTGGATGAGGGTTTACAGTAGGCCGTGAAGTTTTCTGTCAAACAATTCTCAGATCCGAAAGACAGATTTACAAGGAACACGGTCTCTGTGTTCAGTGAGGGGAGCCAGCAAAGTTCAGTGTGTGCTGAAGAGGTTGTAAAACAGACGCATGATACAGCCAGACTGAAATGTAGTAAGAATGCTTCTCGGATTTTTATTTGAATGAGTCTATGTACCCAGTGTGCATGCCAAAAGCACAAATCCGTTCTCTTAAAGGAGACTCTTTGGTTTGCCTTGATCATGTTGCTCTGCTTCTTGGGACTGGATCTCTTCTGTGATGTGAGGGCTCTTTCTCCGGAAGGAGCTATCCTGCAATGGAGAAGAGACCCCTTTGCTTAGCCTTAGTGGAACGGAATCACTCTCCTGAACCCACAATGAGGCATAAACGAGAAAGCGTGAACGATTCCCTTCCTGCGATCATGCTGGCCCTCCTCTGCAGGGCTGTTGTAACAATGAAAACAAAATATTGTGGGCGCTGCACTTCAGATATTTGAAAGCACTGCATATGATACAGAATGTTGTTCATTAGAAGCACCACCAGTGCAGTTCCAATCCTGGGCTGGGTTTTTTTTTTTTTTTTGCAATTTAGTCTTCAGTTTATTCCAAATTAGTTTTAAAATCTTGCTGAGAATCTTGACTCGCTGCTCCTCCACTACTAGAGTTGCCAGCCTCCAGGTGGGGCCTGGAGATCTCCCAGTAGTATGATTAGCCACGCTACTGAGACGGATGATAGGCAGATTTTCTGGGCGCGATGACATCGCAACATCTTGGAAGCGTAGAGCTCCCATGGTGAACCCGAGGCTTCCCGCCGAAGATGCGGAGTTAAAAACTAGTACCTCCGAGGTACTAGTTTCTGGAAACTGCGGGGCAAGGGCTGGTGTCTGATCGCGTTTCCGGTGGTAGTCTGTGGCATCTGGCGTCCGTCCATGTCCCGTCGCAAACAGGGTTCCCCCCCCCCAAGTCTCCACAGGATGCGCAC